CCTCTCCTCTCCCCCTCACCTCTGAGTGGTATCTTGTGACTGTTCCTGTACTCGCCGGGCGACGTGTGCTCCGGGCTCAGGTCCAGACGGACGTGGTGCTCCCCGGGGCTCCCTTCCTTCCTGTACGACCTGTCGGGAAATACACACACAACACGTGTCGTAGATACAGACACACACAATACATGTCATTGATCGTGTCATTGATACAGAGACTCACACAACACGTGTCATTGATCGAGTCATTGATACATGCACAACCCGTGTCATTGATACACACATAACACGTGTCATTGTCAACATGTGTCATCGACAGAGACACACACACACACAGAACACGTGTCATACAGAGACACACAAACACACACACAACACACATCATTGACAGACACACACACACACACAACACACATCATTGACAGACACACACACACACACACAACACACATCATTGACAGACACACACACACACAACACATGCCACAGACAGATACAACACAATCTCCAATCCCAAACACTTTAACAGATATAACAACAGAATCCCAAACATTCTTTTGGATAGAATAACATAATCCCTAACACAGTAACGGACATAACAAGACAATCCCTAATGTTCTTACATTTTCACGGATATAACAAATCAATCCCTAAAACAGTAACGGATATAACAAAATAATCCCTAAAACAGTAACGGACATAACAATACAATCCCTAACACAAAAACAGATATAACAAGATAATCCCTAATGTTCTTACATTCTCACGGATAACAACAGAATCCCTAAAACAGTTATGGATATAACAACATAAAATCCCTAATACAGTAACCGATATAACAACATAATCCCTAAAACAGTAATGGATATAACAACATATAATCCCTCAAACAGTAGCAGATATAACAAAACAATCCCTAAAACTCTTCCGTTCTTACGTTTATATAACAAAGATAACGCCCGACACTCTACCTCCCCAACCAGCACCGCCCACCACACTCTGTGCTTACCTGCGACTCCGCGAGCTGGGCTGCCGGCTCAGGTGGTTCGAATCCTTCTCTCCGTTCTCGTTGTTGTCGTTGCCGTTGACGTCTAAGCCCTCCTCCTCATTGCCCTGACACACAGACAATGGGTGGGAAAAGATAAGATAGGGTGAGATGAGATGAGATGAGACAAGACGAGACGAGGTGACATGAGATGAGATAAAGTGAGGTAAGGTGAGATGAGATGAGGTGAGGTGAGACGAGATTAGATGAAACAAGATGAGCCGAGATGAGGTGAGGTGAGATGAGATGAG